TACTCTCTCTCTCTCTCTCTCTCTCTCTCTCTCTCTCTCGTATTTTTGTATGCATGGCTTTTGTGCTTTCCGTTTTTTTTTCCTCCGGAATTGTGTCTCAGTTCCAACACTTTTATTTTCCATGGCTGGCAGGGCCGTGTGTTTGTGAGAGCCTGCAGGAGAAGCGGTGCGCGGGGCAAGGGTCGGGAGAAAGGTTGCATGTTGTTTTTGCTTTTTATTTATGTTTTCCAACTCCTTTTCCTTTTCGTGCTGCACGAGAGGCGGGTGGATGACGCTTTCCGTCCCTATATTTTGCTACCACTTTTGGTACTTGGGGAGGACGGGGAGTCGCGTCTCACTCGTTTGTGCCAACTGACCTGACATGTGTGCGGCCGCGAAGGCAAGACGGCGAATGCACATCATGTTGCTCTTTTGCTGCTTCTCCTTTTGGTTTAAAGGGAAAGGCAGGGCATGGGGTGTGTGTTCATCTGTGGAGGAGGCGAGACAGCACCCCGTCTATCACTTTTTTTGCTTATGATTATAGATAAAAAAAAATTCGTTAATTTTTTCCGTGTTTGTGTATGCATGTATGGCAGTGGTGAATATAGGATTGTGTGTGTTACTTAATTTATTATTTAGCAAAGAATTTAGTTATCAGAACTAAGAAGAAAAAAAAAAGTCAAAAAAAAATCGAACAAATATAAAAACAGTTATACGTCTCTTTTTAAGTTTTGTGGCTTTTTTTTTGTACTTTTTTTGTATTTCTTCTTTATTTGTAATTTTGTGCAGGAGGTGATAAAAACAAAGGTGAGGGTTGTCCGTGTCGCTGTACGCTTACACGCACGTTTTTAGATATATATATATTCTGGAATAGGGTTTTAGTTTGTGGGTTGATCACTGTCCGTCCGCGGAAGTGAAAGTGACTGAAGCAGCAGGAGTTTCTAGGGGCGTGACGGAGGGAAGGATAGGAGGACCTGGTGATCAAATCTCAATCATGGGGAAGGGTCGTGACAAACGAAAGAAACATGAAGATCCTGTGAAGGCGGTGAAACGGTCGGATCGCCAGGCGCATAAACGTGCCAAGGGTATGCAAAAAGGCGACACGGATGGCGATGAGGTGAAAGGATTCAATAATGAGGAGGCTCCGGAAGTTACTTTGAACCGAATTCGCAAGCAGGAAGGCAAAATGCGAACTACGTTGGTTGAAGAAAATGCTGTCCCACCCAGTCCGCGTGCGAATGTTGTTTTCACACTTCACCCTGAGCGTGAGCAGGAACTGATGCTTTTCGGTGGAGAGTATTGGGACGGTGAGAAGACGGTGGCTTATAATGATCTATACTTTTATAACATTAAACGCAATGTCTGGTCACGTCTCGTGACGGCGGTGAATCCACCCCCACGAAGCAGCAGCCAAGGTGTCGTCTACAAACATTTTTTGATTGTTTTTGGTGGGGAATTTGTTTCTCAGTCGCAGTCGCAATTCCTGCACTTTAAAGACGTCTGGCGTTTTGACGCCAAGAAGTATGAATGGGAGGAACTTACCGGCGTAAAAGGGGGTCCTTCCTCACGTAGTGGTCATCGTATGTGTCTCTGGCGCCGTAGTGCTATTGTCTTTGGTGGTTTCTATGATAACGCCCACGAATGTCATTATTTTAATGACCTTTGGATCTTGTCATGTTTGGATGGGGCAGGAAAGTGGACGGCGGTCAAAACGGCGCCCTACGGGGAGCTACCTCACCCCCGTAGTGGGCATTCAATGGCAGTATGCAATGACACACTCTTTGTTTATGGGGGTTTCTCCACTGAGAAGTTTAATCGATTTAAAAAATTACAAGCAAATGTGCACCATGACCTTTGGAGTATAAAATTGCCGCAGCACATCAATGCTGCCGATAATGCCAACGCCGAGGGCGACTTTGCGCTGTGGACGAAAATACGTCTGGGTGGTATTCCCCCGCCGATCCGTTGTGGCGTAGGTAGTGCGTTTAAGGACAATAAAATGTACTTATTTGGTGGTGTGGTGGACATTGAGTCACCTGGCGGTAAAGTTGTGTCCACTTTCACCAGTGATTTATTTGTTTTTCATATGGACACAAAGCGGTTTTACCCAATTGTTTTGCGCGCAAGGAAGAAGACAACGGCGTTGGAGTTGAAGGGAGGTGACCTACAATCCGAATTGAGGGCTCTTCACCTACAACATTTGGCGGGTAATTCTTTATTTTCAGCAGCGGATAGCGAGGAGGAAGAGGAGGAGGAGGAAGATGGTGAAGAAAGTTATGGGAGCATTGTGGTGGATGAAGAGAATGAGATGAAGGAGAGTTTTGAGGTCAATAAACGAGGCCAGATTTACCCACATCGTCGGATGAATGCGTCTATGCTTATTATGGGGAATACTTTGTACATTTTCGGGGGTCAGTTTGAGAGTGGTTCCCGTGAAGTTACAATGTCAGATCTCTTTTCATTCAACCTCAATACGTGTGACACATACCGTGTGCTCCTCGCACAGGATCTTTCACGTTTGGTGTGGCTCGGTAAGGAGGCGGAGGCTAGTGAGGCTGGTTCATGGGAAAGTGGCAGTACAGTTGTCAGTGCTGCATTTGATTTGGATTACGATGAAGACGACGATGAAGATACAGACAACACTGGAGAAGCAGCTGTGGACGGCGGGGTGGACCTTGCTTGCATCCCGCGAGCACTGGAGGACGGTGACAACGATGATGAGCCACCGCAAGTTGTCCCTGCAGAACTCGACACTGCCGTCACTCCTTCACGCGAGATTGTGGACTGCGTCACTACGGTAAAAGGTAAAAAAGGCCTCAAGGTACACAAGGAACAGCTCCTTGCTCAGCTTGGCAGTGGCTCTGCTGTACCAACTCCGCTAAAAGATGAGACCCCTGCAGTTTTCTTCCAACGAACAACCGACTTTTGGGTGTCAATGGCATCTGAGTCCTTTGAGGATCTCAAAACAAAGCAGCGGCAGTCGGAAAAGCGGGTTCATAAGCAGGCGATGGGGTTTGCATACCGTCGCTACCATGAAGCAAATAGATTACTTGAGCAGCTGCGAATCGTACAGGAACGTGAAGAGGAGGAGGCACGATTCTTTAAGGAACGCCGAGAGAAGAAGGAAGAAGAGTGGGAAGCATACGAGCGGCAACTTGCGGAAGATGAGGAAGATAACGATGAGGAGAGGGACACCGAAGAATAAGGACGGATGGCGACGAATCTGCAATAAATTTTTGTTTGTTTTGCTATTTGCTTGCTTGTGGCTTATTTTGAGCTGATGAATGCATTTATTTGGTTAATACTTATATTTACATTTACACATGATCCCAACCATGGGGAGTTTGTTTAGCCGCTTTCTGCTACAGAGGGCCAACGGAATGAAATATGTGTCTCCTTGCATATGCCAGTGTGTGGGTGAGGTGTGGTAGTGTTTGGGTGGATGTCGCCAACGTGTCTTTTTTTTCTTTTTCTTTTGCGGCGCGTAAGAAGAGGCAACATGACGGGGCTTGGGCGGGAGTGGGCGCAGGGGATGGTGGGTACGGCCATTACTCTGGAGGCTGTCGACGAGGTACTTGAGGCAAATCACCGACTTCAGGCTGAGTTGCAGCAGAAGTGTCGGCAGCTGCGTGAGGCGCAAGGGCGCATCGCAGCTCTTCGATTGGCATTATGTAACCCGATGCATGTTTCCAAAGTAACGAGGCGTGTAGTCGTGAAACGTGACAGGGTTAACACTGCGGCGGGGACGGCATATTTTGATGCTTACCTTTGCTCTACGAAAGAATGTCCTCCGTTTCGTGTCGCCGGATTTTATGCTGAAGGTGGCTGTCTGCGGCATGTGGCACTCCCACTGACCTCGGATGAGGTGCGGTGGAACGAGGCTAAGGCAGCATTTCCTCAGCCATTCCCTCATCTTTTCTTGACGGCAAAACAGGACGCATCACACGATAAAACAACGGAACGGGAGTGGAGTAAAGAGGAAGACAATGCACTCATAGCTGCTGTCCGTAGTTATACAGGAAACCCATGTGGTGCAAAATTTTGGAAGGCTTTAGCCGTACCTGGATGTTCACGATTTGAAATCGCCAGCAGGTACGTTGCACTGAAAGGTGTCAGGAGTATAAATTTCGTGGCACCATATCAGGCCGCTTTTCAGCTGAGCGACGAAGAAAGGACTACTGCACTGAAGGAGGCTGTTCGGAACCATATAGGAGATATTGGAGCCATCTTTGCTGCGTTCTCGGAGATTCTTGCGGCTGCCGCCCGGCGTCGTGCATACCTGGCGGAAGTAGCTGGAGAGGCGGTCAATCCGTTCCCTCCATATGTATGGGAGCCTCGTCACAATTTTCGGCGATTAGCTGAGCCCATTCTGCAGGAGACAAGCCTCTCTCTTGGGCGCCCTGCCTTTCAGGGTGGGCGTGGTACAACGCTGTCGCCGCGCGACGAGGAACATAGGCACGCGGCGCCATCCCTTGTTGATTGCACGGCTTGCCTTTTGGCGTTTAAGGCGAAACTTTTTGGAAAGAGCAGCATGTTGTGGGAAGTCGTACGAATTTTCTTGCCGGAGTGCGGGAGCGATTTGCCAAGTGGGTGGCACAAAATGCAGCTGCCTGTGCTGGAGGAGATTTTACAAAGACAAAACAGCAAAGATAATAATAATAAAACAGTAGAACGTGCGGAGTGTGGGTATGTTTTTCTATGAGTGAGCGGGAGATATGATAAGAAAGAGAGACTACATGTTCTTTTGTTTTGATTTATTTATTTTTTGCTTTGTATTCTCGTCCTTTTTTTTTTTGCGTCAGTGGTAGTGGGACGCTGCATCTACGTGTTTTTCTTTTTGCTTGTTTGCTTGACAGGATGTAACTGCAGATCCTCCGTCTGGGCAGTGTTTGAGTACTGCCGACCCACGCACTCTTAAAAAAAAAAAGAGAAAAAAAAAGTAAATTATTCTGTGTCTTTGTTTGATTGTGCTTCTTCGTGTTCTCCTTAAATTGTGCTGCATGTATTGATGAAGGATATTCTTGGCGGTTGCAGTGCTGTGAGACTTGACCAATGGGCACCGATAACATGGAGGCTGCGGTACAGCTTGAGCTGTGTATCCTTCGCGCTGTCACACCGAAGGACTATCAGTGCGTAGTGGAGCACAATTGTGGGATGGATGGGAACTCTGTATGCCTGCTGCAGACTATCATGCAGCACAATGCAATGGTGCAGTTGGGGCAGACGATATTGGCATGTGATATCTTTTCGGCTGATCTCACGGTGGTTGACTTGGCTCCGGCTACAGCTGGAGTGTTGTGTGATGCCACAACTATAATTGTGCTTCCACCGACGCGTGGGGACGCATTTGGGCTGAATGACACTACACGCATAACCGAATGCAGCTACAAGGATGACGACGGTAATGTAGATGCCAATGATGATGATGATGACCTATGTGTTGCCGTGTTGGATGATTCATTGACTGGTTCTACAGCGGAGTCGTCAGAGGGTTTTTTTCTGCGTACCCTCATGATGGACGGTGCGGTTGTGTGCGTTGGCGACGAAGAGTACACGACCGCCTTCTCCATTCACATGCGTCGGCAGGGCAAGGAGACGGCTGAAGCTGTCCCCCACACTGCACGCCGCGCCTGATGTTTTTCGTAACCTTCGGGCTTCCATTCTTCTTGACCCCCTGCCGTCTCTTGTGACAACCTCTATGCAGTACTCCGATCGACGAATAAAGGTTCCCCTCTCGGCATTTCGTCCTGTGCTGGACTCAAAGTGTGTACCGTTAACGCTGGCGTCGGCTCAACAAGGGTGTGGGGAGTTGCAACTGAGTGGTGTTGTTGTTGCACCTGCGTGGCCCGCCTTCATGCTGGCCGCCTTCTTGGGAGACAACTATGAGCAGATTATGACGCTTGCCTTACGCGCCTCCAAAGAACAGCTGTGTGGTCGAATAGTCTCTGAGGGTGACGTTTTTGCCCTTCACGTCACACCGCAACTTTTTTTTGAGCGTCAGCTGGTTTGCACCGACGTCGCCGAAGTTGTGCTGGCGCACGTTGCACATCTTGCACAGAGCGGCAACGCGGAAACGGCGGCAAGATCGTTGATGCACAATGACGGCATCATTGCGATACCACTTCGCGTTGTTGAAGTGACAACAACTTCCGGTAGACCGTTCGGGTGGCTTGACTTGAATAATGGTGGGACGGAGGTTGTTTTATCGATTCACAGCATCGCACTTTGCGCAGATGTGACCCCGCTATTTCCGCCATGGCGTCTACGGGAAACATTATATTTAAAGTTGTCTCTGACTGTGGCCATTCTTGATGCACTGGGCACTGTTTTTTTACCATCGCACTCAGCTGAGACCCATGTCTTTGTGGTGCATGCACTTCCAGAGAATTTCCCATATGAGAGCATTACAACCGCGTTAGCCGTACATGGTGTGGGGGCCCTCATTGTCGACCTTGATCGCCGGCAACGGGATGAGATGCAGCACCTCATTTCGGACTATATGCAAAGTCTGGGGGAGGTTGCACTCGTGGTTAAGAATTCGCAACTCCTGCCTGAGCATCCCCAATTGCTGCATTTGTTTGATACGGATGACATTGACACTTCTACTACTAATACTGCCCGGGTTGGAGTTCGTGTTATTTTTCTAGTCTGTGAGAGCACGGAGGCACCACCGCCGACGGTGGCGGCCAGAGCTCGAAATGTGGGAGGTTTGCTTAAGGGCACTAACCCATCGGACGCCGATCGTCGTGTTATCGTGGAAACGTTGTTTCAGGAGGCCCAACGTTCCTTTGGCATCTGTAAGAGTCTGTTGTTGTCATTTGATTCCATGGCAGCGTGGCTGGTGGGACTGAGTGCTGCCGATGTGGTGGCGTACATGCAGGAGTGCCTCTCACTGCTGAGCTCTATGCGGTTGCCCGAGGGAGTAAGGCCGGTTCTTTCGGAATCTTTGTCTGGGAGTGTGCTGCAAAAGTACCAAAAAGCACATGGACACAGCCTCGTCTCGACCAAACTGCAGCCAGTGCGGTGGAAAGATGTAGGCGGCTTGGAAGATGCGAAGCGAGAGCTGCGGGAAACGATTCAGTTGCCCCTATTGCATCCAGATCTTTTTTCCAACGGCGCAAAACGACGGGCAGGTATTCTTTTCTACGGGCCACCAGGGTGTGGCAAGACACTCCTGGCAAAGGCAGTGGCTACGGAGATGAATATGAATTTCATGGCCGTGAAAGGGCCGGAACTGATCAATCAATATGTGGGTGAGAGCGAAAAGAACATACGCCTCCTCTTTCAACGTGCACGGGACAACTCGCCCTGCATCATATTTTTTGACGAGCTTGACGCGCTGGCGCCAGCACGTGGCGCCAAGGGTGACGCTGGCGGGGCTATGGACCGCGTAGTTGCGCAGCTGCTTGTCGAGGTAGACGGTGTGGGCCATGCGCGTACGGATGGCACTGCTGTTGCCCAGGTGTTCATCATTGGCGCCACAAATCGCCCAGATTTGCTGGATCCGTCACTGCTGCGCCCTGGCCGCTTTGACAGACTGTGCTACCTGGGCCTCCCTGCGACAAGAGAGGAGCAGCTTGTTGCTCTCCAGGCGCTCACACGGAAGTTTGACCTCGCTTATGACGTGGACTTTGACAAACTCCTTGAGCCCCTCGAATTTGAGTACACCGGCGCTGACTTCTTTGCACTTTGCTCCGACGCCATGATGTTTGCTGTGGAGTCGATGTTGGAGCACATTGTTGCGGAGGAGGACTGCATCGTGCCGGAGGCGGCGGCGAGGGACGCTGAAGAAACGCCGCGTCTTGTTGTTCAGATGCGTGACTTTGTGCGTGCGCGCGACCAACTGAAGCCGTCCGTGTCGAAGAGCGACCTCAGGCGCTACGAGGGCCTTCAGTCGAAATTTACAACCTGGTAGATGCGCGTGAGGCACACACAATGGAAGGCAGGTGGAGGGAGCAAAAAGGGAAAAATAATGAGGAGAGCGAGGCAGTCAGCGACTGCACCAGTGTGAAGGGGGGAAGAGATGCGGATCAGCCCAACTTGGCAAGCTTGAGCTGTGAGAGAGAGGAGAGGACGACCAGCAAAAACAACAAAAATAGGGGGATAAAAAACATGACGACATCAAAGGGGTTAAAGATAAGAAAAAGCACTAACGCACGCGCAAATACAAGGCAACAGACAACATACAAGGCTCCACTTCAGCTGATGTATCGTTTACACCCGCAGACACGTGTGCTCTGAGGATATATATATATATATATATATATATATATATATATAT